CCGACCTCTTTTTCCCTTCCTCCCGAGGTCTCTCTGTCAGCACTTCCCCTTCCCCTGACATCGCTCTAGCCGCCGACTCATCCCCTCCGGTCGACAACTCATCCATCCCACCACCCTTAGAACCACCACCACCCCTGTGGTCCGAGTACCCAACCCTCCCTTCATCGCTTCCCCCCCCTCACCTCTCTGTGTTATGGGAAGAACACACCGCAAGCGGTGCGCTAACCGCGTGGCCCCTCCTTCGGTGCCAGTGACGTGGAATCGGCCGGCGATGGCCTATCGCGCGTAGATATATGTGTAGATGTGCCAGTGGGGTCGTGGGTTTGCGCGTCTCGATGTTGCTTGCGATCAAAGTGTGTTTCTTAGGCCTTCGTGGGCTGGGAACAGCAGGGAAATTGATAACTGAACCAGGGGGGCACGCGACATCAGCTGACTCAAGCTAATTGCGCCGCTTCCTCCGTATCTATCTAGTTGCGCCGCTTCACTTTCTCTCCAACTCTCTCTCTCCCTCAACTAACTGCAATTCCCTCATAAGCTCATCATTCCAACCATAAACCAACACCTTCTCAATTCTAGTCTCCACCTCATACTCTTTTCTTGACCTTCCATTCCATCACGCTTCAACATATATACTGCGATTAAACTACCCCAAGTCTTCTTACCCTGACCTAACCTAGGGTTGACTTATTGCACGACAATCTGTTGTCAGTTTTCGTGCCGTTCGAGGAGGCTTTTTTGGTTCGGATTCCCAACCCCTGAAAAAAAAGTCAGTCCCAGCGACTTTTTGGAGTCCCTATCGCGCACCCCCGGTGCCTCGCGAGCCCGACACGTAACAGGTAATACACCGACGGGTCCTCTGCGTGCCATGCAGAAGAAAGTGCGAGAAAAAACGCTGTCCCAGCAGAAAAAAACGAATGCGAAGAGTAAAATAGTCGAAATGATAGATATGCATTCGAATATTTCGTTTTGGCGGCGTCAATGGTGCGACGCTTACGTTCCACTCGTTCAGCGCGGATGGCGGCAAGCAACTGAGTGACGTTGTTGTGGATCATTCACTGAAGTGGACAAAGGTGGACGTGTCGTCGCACACCCGAGGGGCTCAAGCGAACCCGTTTCCGACTGGATGCGCCGGAGATGATGCCGAAAAAAACGATTGGATTGCCTCGTTGTATCTGTTTCGCCATGATGATGATGACAAGTGATACCATTTTGTTCTGGGGTCCTTCTGTTGGAGGTGGCGGCATCTTCTTGGGAGGCATTGATGCGGCTCGTCGCGAAAAATCATAATATCCAAACGGCAAACGCTATTGCGCGTCTCTTCTTCTCCATCCGCGGAGTCCTCTTCTTCCACACAGCCTACTTTGTTGTTCTTTGGTGAGCGTCTGTCTGGAGGTAGGTCTGGATGACGAAAAGGTGCGTTTCGGAGCGATCCGTTCACTTCTTTTCGCATACCCTACCGCAGACCAGGAGTGCAGCAGTCTTCAATCTTCTGTGCAACAGCAGCCGCAGTCAGTCAGTCAGTGTCTACGATATGGCACTAACTATAACCAATTACACTGCTGCTGCCTACCAATAGTCGTTTGTCTAGTGACCGCCTCGTTTTCCCTATGGAGGCTGGCTGGAGACGCGTCATAGGTTCTCCTTGGAGAATTGAATACTGGCGTGCGAAGACGTACACCATGCATACAGCAGTTGTACAGCGGATCTACTGTATCTGCATACAACTCCCATATCCGCGCCGGAGCTGGAAGACAATAGGGCGACAAAAAAAGCTTTGCTGATGTGTGACCTATGCATAGAAAAAAGACTGGAGTATATAGACTATACTTCAGGGTAGAGGGTCGCCAGTTGAGACACACTCAAGCACTCTTGCAAAAGACAGCAGTGTGTCCCGCACACAGGTACGCTAGAGCTGTATAAAGCAGGGCCACACTCTATGTACAAATTAGATGCAGGCAGGACTGCTGTATCGCAATGTGGTATTTTGTGGAAGGCTGGCTAGGTGGGCATGACATGACTCTCCGGTCAAGAGATGCGGTGGAAAGACTGAAAAACCTTGAAGAATCCCGAAAAATCGAGGTTGCCGTGATGCAGGTTGTTGCATATCGTCTCGTCGCCTACAAGGGGTGAAGAGGCCAATGTCAAGGGATGCGCACGTAGACCCTTCGATGGTCGTTACCGGGAGCTGCTTTCTTAGGTAATTGAGTCATGCTACGGTAGGGGGGTCACATCAACGGGACTATATTACACTACCGCTTCGATATCCGTGTCATTTGCTAGTAGGGACGGTCGCAATTGACAAACAACTGATGCCGACAGGCCCGTTCGAGTGTTTTGGGGAGGAGTTGTGCACATGGGGCAAGGAGCAACCCAGCGACAGCCGCTGGAGGGGGCACGTGACGGGATATTTACACCCCCGTGGTGAATGCGGCGCATTCCGCTTCTCCCCCGAGCACAAACCTTGCTTACATCGTAATCCGGCCAGGGGCATGCACCAACGACGTGGGCATCGAACACTGTAGTGTAGTTCTAGCTCCACATAGACTACATGTATAGCTGAATGTCGAGGGGCTGAGTATGTGTTGACAAATTTCGAACTCTTTGCGGTACGATTATTTTGTGCCAGCAGAGGTCAACGTAGGGATCACGAGCTGCTGTCGCACGCGGCTTGCAGGCCGGGTGCGTTGAAACTTGGCACAGAGTTGTGTGGACAGTGCTATCTTTGGCTGTCCAAGGTTCGTGGACGTTCGTGAACAGGATGACGAGCTATCGATGCGGCAAAAATGTCGAGTGGTGGGCGGTGCAGCGCAAACGAACCCGCAAACCAGCCGAAACGGTGTTCGCTGCCTTGTTCACTCGCCTCGCTACCGTCCTTGCCGAGACTTGCGCAGCACGCCTATGTTGCCCTAGCGCATCGAGCCGCGGCGAGCATGAGGCTGTATCTTGCTCGGTTGCGGAGAACGCCGTGGCACGAAAATGCAAAGGGTTGCACAAGAGGCGCCTCGGCGCCTCTGATTTGGGGGGGGGG